TATGATGTATGATGTATGTTAATTCCTCGGGATTCCATGTTAGTTCCACAGAGAGAGTTGAAATAGTCAGAATTTTTTTTTCAGCACTTCACAGTGCCTGATTTGTTTCTCTGCATGTTACTTCCATCTTTCATATGGTTGGTAGCCAAAGGCAGATTCTATCAGTTGTCCCCCCCCCTTTTTTTTTCTCTTGCTTTCTTTACCATCTTGTACAATGAAGAATCCTGGAGAACTCAAAACTGTGCAGACTATTTTATGACCTTGAATTGATCTAAAATTATATTCCTAACATAGTTTTTGGAATCTTTCTTACAGTCAGCATGACTGCCTTTCTTTTTTGATGTACTAATACTGTGCACCTTCCATTTCCAGTAGAAAAAAACATGAAATAATCAGAGCTGGACTTCCATTCTTTATACACACAGGATATTTAATACATTTAAGTAACAACCAACATGAATTTTGCTACTCTCTCTTAGATTCCACCTGTTTAATTTTATAATTGATAGCATTTTGATTGTATTTTTATTTCAGATCACAAATCTTGCCCAGAAGATTTGTGCCCTTAAAATTGTGGATTGCAAAGATAATAATTTTAGTCCTACTGGACTTTGTGAAATAAGTTGATTACACAACACAATTAATTCTTGATCCAGGGAAGTCCTGAACCCTAGTTATTTTCAGCTTTTAACAATGTACTTCATCTAGTCTGCCAACTTTGGCCTACTTGGTTTCTTTCCCAATGACTTTTGGCATTTCCACAACATTTGCTATCAAGTGGTCACTCTGTCCTATAAATTCTGTCTCCATCAACAAAAAAAGTCAGGCCAAATTCAAGTGAGACATTGGGGGAACAAGGCGTATCTGTTTAATCTCTGTTTGATTAATCAAGACTGCTTACTTTGAGAGAGACAAGAGCAGGCCAAAAGAAATTTGTAAAGCTCAGTTCAGATTTCAGCTTCTTTTGATCACCTAGCATAATACTACCTGCCATTTTCTCAGGGGTTTCAGGAATATGTCTGCATTTTTTGCATGCTGTAGTCAATACTAAATCTCAATCTTTAATTTACTCGTTTGGTTTAATTTTGTGCCATTTTATTATAGTCTTTAATATTACCTTATATTTTATGTTTTTAATGTAGCTGTATAGGCTCAGAAAACCTCTTTTATAGGGGCCAGCACTTTTAAAGATTTGGTTTAAAAAAAACAACTTAGCCTAGAGATATAGGCCAGTCACTTCTGTTCCCTGGAGGAACAGCCATTTTTTTCAAGACTGCTTCTTGCCTTTGATGCAGTTTCTGATATGCAGCAAGGTTCTTTCTTTCCTTGGCCGGCATCTCTAAGGCGCAACCAAAACAGTCCTGTCTTACCACCAGCCATGTTTTTCTGTCCTGTCTCCATGATGTTGCCTTCATCTCATATCCAGCACACACCTGAGACAGGTTGAAATTGTCCTTAGATGTCCCAGATGTTCTCCTTTATCCCTTGTTGTTGTTGTGGATACAGTCTGACCCACTTCGTTGCCATATTGTTAGGTGACCTTTTGGGGTAGGATGAGTACAGGTCCTATTGGCTACTTGAGCCTGGTGGGGCATACCTCTAACCCTCTGAGATAAGAAGCGTTCTATTCTGCTGGTTATAACATTTGCACACACATTATACTAACTGGGAGTTGTATACAGTCTTTTAAAACAACTGCAAAGATCGTTTACAAGTGAATGATGGTGTTCACCACTACTTCAAAGAACATATTCGAAGACTTGGTTATGCCAGCAGGCCTGGGGACCCCAGGGGACAGGTGAATAAATGAGGTGGCTCCATATTATTAACATCCTTCCATCTATTATTTTCTTTTTCTGTTTTAATTCTCCTTTTATAGTTTTAATGCTTTTTAATAATCATTATATAGTGTTTTCTAGATAATGTTTGTTTTATATATTTATTGTTTTATTGGCTTGTTGTATGCTGCCCAGAGTCACTTTTTGTGAGAAGGATGGCCATATAAATTTGATTAATAAATAAATAAATAAATAAAATAAATATTTGTTAGGACAGTGTAGGCCTGAATGGTATGTATGGTAGCTAGGCTTCATACGCGATAATACCGAGTTGACTTTGCTGAAGGTTTTACAGCTTGACTAGCTTGTGTGGTGTCTGACTTCAGAGAGACCAGGGAAGCTGACCTCCAAAGGCAGATTTAAAGAAAACTCAAGAACTAGACATTATCCTTCCTTCTTTCCTTCTGTTTATCTGACAGGGAGCAGAAAGGAAGATCCGGGATGAAGAACGGAAGCAGAGCAAAAGAAAAGGCAAGTGCAGTGACCCCAGCTCTCAGCTGAATGCCTGTAAGTAGAAAATATAGTGTGACCTCTAATGGAGAGGAAATAGTCAAATAAACCTTACTTATTACATATGCCAGAAATGAACAAAACTTTCTCTTCTCTTCTCTCCTCTCCTCTCCTCTCCTCTCCTCTCCTCTCCTCTCCTCCCCTCCCCTCCTATATATAATAAGCAAAATGTTATAGTTTTCCATGGTTAAGAAATGGATTCAGAGCCAAACTGTAAGAGTTCCATGGGATAAAATAAATGAATTTCTGTCATTGAACTCATAAACCATATTTTAGCTGGGAAGCTTCCTCTCACAGCAGCCACTCAGAAATATTTTTGCAGATTGACAAATGCATACAACATGTACTGAACATGTGGGTGGGAGGAGGGGCAATAATTATTTCTTTTATTTCCCATTTGCCTGGAGTGGTTGGGAAGGGGATTTTGGTGCTCAGGAATCTGGGGTAGCTTGGGGGTCGGACACTGATTGGATAATGTTTTTTGTACTTTCCTATTGGTCAACTGGAGGCAAACACTTAGTGGCTCACAGTGTTCCCTGTCTGCTCTCAGAGTTTTATGGTCAGGAGAAGGGAAGAGGATTACAACACAGCTTCCAAGGGATTGAGAAATACAAAGAGTGGGGTGTGGAAGAGCACTCTGTATCAGTGGTGGAGAACATCTCATTTCCAACCCCAGTCTTGATTGATGTATGCAGCTTTGTAAGAAATCTAAAACAGAGCCTGCTTCACAATTTAGTGTTAAAAAAATTGTGTCTCTCGGAGGCATTCTTAATTTTAAGAGTCCCTTATTTCCTCTTCCCCCCACCAGTTTCTGATGTCAAGGTGCCCATGCTTCCCTCCCACAAGCGTACAGACATCACCATCTTCAAGCCATTTATGGATCTTGATACTCAGCCAGTTCTCTTCATACCTGATGTTCACTATTCAAATATTCAGCGTGGAGCTCACGTAAGGTTTCTTTCTTGCTCACTGTGTCAAAGGAGGACAGTGATTAAAAAAAGGGGGTGGGCGGGAGAGCAACTTCTTATCTAATTCCATGAAGTTAATTGGCTGCTCTTTTGGCAATTTGAGGGACAGGCAATCATTCCTTGGCCTTTTTAAACATTTGATGGTTATATGGTGATGTCCCTGGAGTGGGATAGCTTAACATTTTCAGCTTTGCAGAGAAGAAATGTGGAGAATTAAGCAAAAGAGTTGTTTTAATGGCTAGTACTAACCACATGGTCTAGGAAGCTTTAGGAACCACAAACAGAGGCTGGTCATGCAAGTGGCCTGCAAACCACTGGCTTAAGACATATCTGTGTATTTTTCTTTTGTGGAATCCAAAGATTGATCCTGAAGGAGCATTAATAAGGCCAATTCCATTTTGACACATTATAACTTCATGTAGTGTCTTTGGAAAGTATTTTGTCTATACTGCCATTGTTCATACTGCAGTGTCAAATACTGTTCAGATGCACTAAATTAGTTAATTAAATCATTTCATTTATCATGGTTAAAGAAATATGCACTATCTCCTGCCAGAGCATCTCAATGAGACTTTGAATTTAACTCAGAGATGTTAAACTAGAGCAAAATCGGCACTAAAACAAATAGAATTCTAAGCAGCAATAACAGCCTCTACTACATTAAGAAAAAACCTCACACAACTCTCCAAACAACAGTCCAGAAGATACCAAACAAACACTCTTTGGAATAAAATGGTTTCTATTTGTCACTGATGGTTTCTATTTGTCATGAGCTAGCTGGAAGTGAAAGAATACATTATATAGGGAATTAATCTTGGTTGCCACCACAGAAAAATTGATGTCCAAGTGGAAAAATAGTAAGAGTATGGGAAGTAGGAGAAAAAAACCAAAAAAACCAAAAAAAAAACCCAGAAGCGGAGAATGCATGGGAAACCAGGCAAATGTTTTGACAGGAATGGAGGTTTTAGACTTGATTTAAGGTAATCCATTGCATTTACTTAATCTACTGGGATACTATTTTATAGGTCCAGAGAGTGAAACATGAGAAGGACAACAGTATCCAGCATGCTTTATGATGATGCTTATATTATTGATCAATTGTTAACGTGGTTCTAGAATATTTAAAATATCTTGCTTCCCTCCTTTCCTTTGTAGGCTTTTTCTGTTGCATCTGATGAAATGGAGGGAGAAGGGTAAGTTTTGCCACTATTTTCTCATTCAAGTTCCAATCATTTTTACAGAATGCTTTAGCTATTTTTGCTCTAGCGTGGCTTTCTAACTGGGCCAGAATATGCAGTACGATATAGCCTAGCCTTCCCCATCTGGTGCCATCTAGAAGTAGTTCCAGGACTATAGTTCCTGTGATCTTTTTTATTATATCAAGCCTGTGATCATTGTCATCATGTTGGTCAGAAATCATAAGAGTTGTACTTCAACATACCTGAACAGTTCCACATTGGGGAAGGTTCACAGTAGATTATTCTACATCATAGTCAGAAAAAAGAATGCTGTTCTCCATATTTGCTTTTAAAACTTTTTCCAAGTGTATAGTGTCAGGGCACTCTGGCGTCAGAGAAGCCAGCAAGTATTTCAGTCTGGAAACTAATAATAACTCTGCATGCATCCTTTGCACCATTCCCAGACTGACTCTGTACTTCTGTGATCTGTCCTCTTGTTACCGTTGGGTAGTTGAGTCAATTTATTACCAGCTCATCTGCAATGGAGAAGGAGTCAGTCAGAAGACAGTTTTCAAATATGGCTGAGTCACCTTGACTTCCACTTTGCACTTGCTAGTTTATTCTACAGTAATAATCAAGGAAGCCTTCATGTCTATATTGACATGGAATTATACGGATACAGAAGAAAATTTGCAACTACATTACCTGATTTATGTATATACCAATTTTCTGTTTAGTGCAATCTTGTGAATAGTTTAATGCCTGGACTGATATCTGTGGTGCAGAATGTGGGGAAGTCAGTGGCTCACTGGAACAGCACTTGTTTTGCATGAGATAGTTTCAAGTTAATTTGCCAACACATCTAGTTAATGGATTTCTAGTTAATAGGTTGTTGAGGAACAGGCTGTTCTGGCCAGTGTTCTCTAATTGGATAGATTGACCACAAAGCTAAACTCCATATAAGGAAAGTAGGTGTTGAGATGAGTGTCAAAAGATATATTTTCCTTTTCTGTGATGCCAACATTATTTGGCTGTATTTATTTACTGCAGTTACATCCTACCTTTTCTCTGAATGCCCAAGGATGGGCTGAGATGGCTTAAAGCCACCCAGTGAGTTTGCACGGCTGATGCTAAACTGGAACCTGGTTCTCCTTATCCTAGCTGTTAATTATCACACCACAATGGCACAACATGATAGTCTAATTTCAGGGTCCTTACAACTGAATGCAGGCCCTCCTAGATGTTAACAGAAGTGTGTTAAACATATTGCCTCTTGGCTTGGTTACATTGGCTCTTAGCAACTGTAATGGGATAGCTAGAAGTTGTGTGTTCTCAGTTCATTTCTCTTTGATGCCTTGAAACATTTAAGGATAGTCTTCTGCCTGGTGATTGCTGTAATGCTAAAATGTTGTTTGGATTGATTAACTGATTGCCTGATTTTCTTTCAGGTCTACCATGAAGAGGGGGGCTTACATAAATGAAGATGAATTTGCTGCTAGTCCAATTAAGATATCTCGAATAGAAGAACCAAAAAGAGGTAAGCCATTCCTCAGTTTTGGTTTTGGTTGTTATTAAATTTATACTCCATATCTCTGCTTAAATAAGCATTCAAGGCAGCTTACAACAGGAAAACAAAATACAAAATATAAAACAGAACAATAAAATTGAGACAAAGTCAGTGTAATCATTAAATGTTTGACAAAAGAATTGTGTTTTTGCTATTTTCCTAATTACTGGGAGAGTGGGGGCTAAACACACCTCCTACCCATAGTCTGGGGGTCAGAGGAATCCTTCTCTCAGTACCAAATAGCTGAGCTTCTGCCAGTGTAGTCATCTTCCAAGAGTCTCTCCTACTAAGTAACTAAGCAGGTTCACCAGTGGGACAGGTGGTCCCTCAGACAGTCAGGCCCAAAGACATTCAGGACTGTACTGTAATGGACAATGTCAAAACCTTAAACAGTGCCTGGTTGGCAGTTAGCAGTCAATGTCAGTGAGGATCATTCAGTGCAGGTCGTGTGTAATGTTCATGCTATCTCAGCCTGGACATTGAAATCCCCCAAGAAAAAAAGTCTGGGACTGTCCAGTGCTATGCCAGAGATCACCCCAAATTGCTCAGGAGGAGAGAGTTTAGTGATGGGTAGACAGTATATTGTTATTGTCTCTACACTATCTCAGCCACCCAGACAGAGCAACAAGCACTCACAATTGGAAGACTGTTGGATGGAGCTTTGGATCAGTAAGAGGGAATTCCTGTAGACTATAGCTTATGCCTGCCACCCATGGCCTGCTGCATCACAAATTAACTTGGGAGATAGCTTGGAGAGCTGTCAGCCAGGCCTCTAATACTTGCCAGGTCCGTGCTTTCATCCAAGATAAATCCTAGATAATAGATGTTTTACTAGCAATGTATCTGACATTAAGAAAAACAGGTTGTGAGGGCCCACCTTCATTGCTATCTTGATTGTCTTGGTTAGACTGCAACCTGAAAGGGAGGCCAATAAACAGCTTGACCTCCTTTCCCTGCAATGGCCATTTCCTACCATACTGCCCCCTGCCAGTTACTATATCAATAAATATTTCCTCCCAGCCATGCTCCATTCCTCATTTCCCCCCATCTTCTTGACACATCTCACAACACCAAACCAGTTAATTAATAAAATAATCAAAATAGAGCAACCATTCCCTTGTTAGAACCTTGCTTGTGCATGACATTGGATTGGTTGGTCCAGTTGGACTTATACAGCTTCTAGAAGAGGCATGGAGCAAGCTAATTGTAGCCACCGAGGGCCAAGTCCTGTCTCTGTGATGTGCTAAGTGCTGTTTAGTAAATCAGGTCTTGCTCAGAGGGCTTCTAGCCTGCAGGTTTAAAACAAGGAGTTGGTGGTATGAAAAACAATAATCTTGAGAAATTGGTGCTGCAAGAGGTATTTTGCCTTAGTTTATGGGGAAAACTCTTCTTCACTGCATGGTGCCAGTATGATCTAGTGGTTAAGATGTTGGCTAAGAGTCAGGAGAACCAGGTTCTAGTCCACTCTCAGCTACAGAAACTCACTGGGTTACTTTGGCCCAGAGCCTCAGTCCCACTCTACCTCATAGGGTTGATGTAGAAAAAAAATAGCAGGAAATATATACTCAACCTAGAGTTCCTGAACAGTTGTAGAATGTACAGCTAATAAATAAATGAACTCAGATTGCCTAGAAACATCCCGAAGGCTGGTATTTTCTTTTCTTCTCCTCCTCCTGGTATGGAATGAATATGTGGATACAAGTTACGTGTGGAATGGCCTTAATTAAAATTACCCCCTTACATATAAGTGATAACTTTAATTTACCAAGTAGTGAGACAGGAAGGTGAGAAAGTATCGAGCTGGAGCTCCTGTAATGTTTTGCAGAAGAACCCATAGACCTAGGCATTTACTGGAAATAAGACCTTGTTTGAGTAGTGTGTGTTCAAGTTCAAAGTACAAAAACAGCTGAGCCAGAAGAATGTTCGCTCATTTTCTCATGTGACTTTTCAACAGGGCAAGTGCTGTCAGTTGGCTTGTTTTTCCATTCCGGCACAAGCTACAAAATGAGTCACTGGTTTCTGTTGAAAACTCAAGAACTTTTTGCGTGTATTCTTTCAGACCCCACTTCTTTGAGTTCATTTTTAAGCTCTTTTGCTTCCAGGATTTTTTTCTGACTCACTTTGGAGTTTTAAATTCACCCTTGTTGACTGAAATGTTGTTAATATAATAGTATCACACCTATGATTTAGATTGTGCTATCACATAGAACAAAGAGAACTTTGATAGCAGTTATTCAGGAGAAGTAAATTAAGGACAACCAATATACTATGTTGAACTTCCTGGTTTTAAGTGAGCTTGATCTCATCAGTTTTTTTCAGCATAAGAACCAACAATTATAAGAAACAAGAACTCCGATATCTTTCTAGTTTATTTGAATATCCAGGAACTTGTGTTTACAGGTGGGGAGAAAATCCCCAGTATTTCCAGATAAGGCTAGAAAAGCTCCCCTTCATACCTGGACAGCCAGTGGCTATCAGGATAGACAATATTGGGCTAAATCAGTATTTTTCAACCTTGGCAACTTTAAGAAGTGTGGACTTTAACTCTCAGAATTCCCTAGCCAGCATGCTAACTGGGGAATTCTGGGAGTTGAAGTCCACACATCTTCAAGTTGCCAAGACTGAAAAACACTGGGCAGATGGGCCAACGTTTAAATTCGTAAAGCAGATTCCTGTACTCTTAGCCAAGTGTGCTAATTGATTTGTATTTCTTCAAAAATACAAACTGAACTAGCAGAATTGCAGAGTTCCTTCTATCTTGAACCTCTTTAGGCAGCCTAGTTGTACATGATCCTTGGTCTTAAATTCTTTTTGGCCTAGTGGATCAAGGATAGAAATCCTGCCCTCCCAAAAGGCTTGGTTATATTCTGCAGAGACCTTTCCCCCTCTGTTGTTGAACTGCAAGTCTAACCTGAGAGAAGGGAAAAATGGAAACACGTGATAATTATGTTTAACTGGCTTAATTTAATGAAACTTAGTTTTTGTCATGGCACCACCTACTGTTTACAGTGTGGCTTCTGATTTCCTTTGCAAAAGGCAAGAGCAGCCCCATGCCCAAAAAGGTTGCATTCCCCAAGGAGGGAAGCAGGCCTAACTAGATGATTGTTAGAAGGCTCATCTCCATCCTAGGTTATTGTAAGGCATTATCTGTTTCTTACAGAGAATGTTTTCTTTTTGAAAGTAAGTAGGAGGGTTCCCCCCCCCCACAAGCTTAAAAAATATTTAGATCTACACTATTAAGATCAATCATGTATTTTAATATTTATGGCTTAGTCCCTGATAACAAAAAGTCCTTGGTAATTGTCTAGACAATTTTAAGAGGCATGTAATGTATTACTAATAAGGCGGTGGTGGGGGGTGGGACATAGCAATCAGTTGGAAGCTCCGTGGGAGCTCCTCCTTCATGATCCTTTATGTACTTTTAGTTTAATTAAAAAAAAAAAGAAACTTAAACAGAGAAGTGGCTTGGCTTCTAAATCCCATTCTCCTTTACACAATCCATTCCCTCCAATCTATTTTGAGGAAGCCTTGAACAAACTGGAGGAAGAAAAAAATCATGTACCAGGGTCTTAATTGGCTCATTGCTCAGAACAAATTTGGAAATGCTCTGCCTGCTGCCAGCACCAATGGAGGTTAATTTACAGGGGACTAGAGTCCAGGCTATGCTATACTGTACTGACATAAGCTGGGAGTGTGTTTAACTAAGCATTAGGAAGGGGTGTGTGTATATTCTGCCTTGCTTGCTCAAACCAAAACACAGACCAGTGCAATATTAAAAGTGCTATTTCTAGGTCATCCTAGACTCAGTTAATTGCTTCACATTTTGTCACTTCCTTTTGGCAGGGAGAGAGAGAGAAAGAGAGATTAATTAGTGTTTATACTTTTTTCTCTGTTATCACCTTTCCTTTAGTGTTGTTGTATGTCCGGAAGGAATCAGAAGAAGTCTTTGATGCACTTATGCTTAAGGCTCCATCTCTGAAAGGTCTAATGGAAGCTGTAAGTTGTAAGGATCTTTATCGTCATATTTTAAGAAAAAGTTGGAGTAACATATCTTCTTTGTACTTAATCTAAATAGTTACTGTATTGTTCTTTCTAAGCTTAAGATTTCAAGTGCTTGAATTAATTGCAAAAATTCTGGACGTACATTCTGAATGTGTGTTAGCACACAGCATGTACCTTCTAGTTGGTGGGATTCAAGCAACAGTATTATCTTTAGATGAGAGATCCTAGCTTGTGTAGAAATGTATGAGCATACTTGGGGTAACACTGGAACCTGACCAGTAGTGTCTTTATGAGTGAATGAATGAATGAATAAATATTTGTGCTTCTGCTCACATTGTTGTATGGAAATATAACAATTGTAATGTTTTGCAATATAACAATATAATGTTGTTTGGCTATGCAAGGAGAAACGTAAGAGTTGAATAAAGTGGGAATGGGATACTTAAGAATTATATCAATAATGAATGGGTGTTGAATGAATGTGCAATGAAAACAAAAGTGAGTGATCAGTATGGAAGCATTTCAGAACCATGCTTGTTTCATGGTTAGTTTATGAGGCTTTATGAGGATTCTCAGCTGCTATTGTTATGCTATTTCTGTTGCTTTAATTTTAGTTGTTTTCATTGTTTTTACTCTGTTTTAACTGTTAGCTGCTCAGAGTCATGTATATGTGATATGCAGCCTATAAATTAAACAAACAAATAAACAAAAGATGGTTTGAACATTTAGAGAGAGTGTGGGAGGTTCAATTTGCAAAACAAATGAAGGAAGGAAGAAGAAACAGGAGAAGACAAGCAAGTCATCCCCGTTGAATGGGGATGATGAGAAAAAGAGGGAAATGAGAAATTTAAAGTACAAAAGACAGTGTGTGGTGAATGTGGACATAGTAGAAGCAAGTATCTTTGCAAGGACAGAAAGACATGGACAAATATAGTAAAGGGTATTAACTATATTTGGCTATAATTCATTTTCTTTTTCTCATTTCATGCCTTATTTTTATTGGTTTACTATTTCTTTATTCCTCCTCTGTACTTGGCATAAAATTGCTTACCCTAAAAGGGAATAGAATGATGGGTATGGATTTACTTAATTCTGGTTTTGCTGGGCATCTGTTTTCATTGCTAGGCAATGGTTATTTATTTACCTGTTAAGCTAAATGCACCTTTTGGAGGAAATACAAAGAACACAAAGTAATTTTAGATTTCTAATTGTAGTATAAACCAAGCAAGCTAAACCAGTTTCTTTGGGGTATTCTCTATCTGTGCTAGCATGCTTTGTGAAGAGGACACATATGTAGGGACTAGAAGGAACAAGACAAAGAACTGGTAAAGCTGTTAACCCGCACAGCCCTCTGAGAGCAGGGCAGGGCACCTGTGTAATTTTCAGAAGACCCACAGATTGAATTCAGTCATATTGATCATACAAGAAGTGATTTTTGTTTGGAGAAAATTTAGTTGTCCGAATTTTCCCTTTGCTAGAAAATGAATTCTGTTTGACAAGCAACTTCTGTAGCTGCAAGTTTCAGAAATGTAACTTACTCCATACTAAATTTAGCATTCATTATCAAGAAATATATGTTGTAAATTGAATTATATATTCGTCATAGGTTCATAGAAACAGATTTTTAAAGTAGACATTTTATTTCTCTCTCTTTTATCTCTATCCCATGCTGCAAAACTGGATGAAGACTTTTTTGCATATGCTTCTTCATGGTCATAGGTATATGTAAATTCTACTATAAAAAAGACTCATGAAAAACTCAAACAAAATAAGTAATGCCTAAGGTATTAACATGGGATGAATAGGAAAAGCCTCATTTGGGCTGCTTTCACTGGACTATCTTGTATGTATTTACTTGGCATTCAGTCTCATTATGTTTAATAGGACTTTAACAGGATTTCTAGAATGTGTGTTTTAGAGTTGAGCCCTACTCTCTCAGATCTGACCTTGTTTCCAAACCATGTACTTTATCTGAAATCGATACACAATCCCTGTGGACAGTATTTAGCTGCCATAGTTCTGCCTGTAAAATAACAGATGGTCTGTTTGGGTGTGTCTGGGTAGGGATGAAGACGGAGAGCCATGCTGGAGAGTGACCGTTAGCTCTGTGTATCTGCTGCTTTTACATTTGTCAATGTCCAACTAGACTCGATGGTTATAGAGTTAAAGGAAAGCAGCTCAGGCCATGATCGGAGATTCTTCCATCAGAGCCTGAAATGTCTTGCATACAGTATATCACCTGCTCATCCTTTGTTTAAACCAGGCGTTAGCGATGGGGATTTGATTGGTATCATCCACTGACTGCAACAAATATGCCCCTAATGCTATTCAGATGCAATTAGCACAAAATCAGAATGGTATTTTGCACTTGCTTTCTCAGTTCTTACAGTAGTCCAGCACCTCTGATTTGGGGGGGAGGGGGACACTGAGATCAGCTTTCAGTGGAAGCCAGTCAGTACTCACCTCCACCCATCCCACTTTCTGAGAATTCCATAGATCAGAAAGGGCATTTCATTCTCTTGTTGGATGATACTATTCAGAAATTACTCCAAAGATTGCTGGCTGAAAAGTTTATGCAATTGTCCAAATCATGTTTTTGCAACAATTATTGCTGATTGAGGAAAAGGGGGTTCTGGAATTCACTGGTGGAGAGAATTCACATTTCCTATGACCCTGTTATCATTTCCTTTTTGTAAGAGGAAACACTTGTTTGAAATTTTAGTCATGTGAAGAGCACTCTGCAGAAACAGAGAGATTTATTAGAAATGGTGAAACAAAAATTATGGATTAAATTTCAGATATTCAGTTTTGTGTAAAATTGAAGATAACTGAACATTTTGAATTAATTTAGCTATTCTATGAGATTATATTTTAAAATGTAGGCTTAATTAAAAGGTTTCTCTGACTTGGGAAGCCCTAATTTGTGATCAGCCAGTCTGGAACTAGGGTTTGTAGTGTTTAGAAACTAGGCATTGTTAAATGTGTCCTGGCTTGATACTTGACCTGATAAGCCATAGTTGCAACTATTCCTCCAGAGATTTCTCTTCCAGTAGGAATGAACTCACAAAGCCAAGATGATAGTCAATAAAAGCATATGAGCAAATTTATATCATGCTTTTTTTTTTTTTGCTCTGTGTAATGGAAATTCAAACCATCAATTCTATCAAATTCAAACCATCAATTCAATCAGATTTCAGTTCTAAAGTATGTTTTTTCATGGGTATTAGCAAGTAACTTGGCTGTTATGTATAGGGTAAAAGTATTTTCCCTTCTGTGGTTCAAATATTTTACCTTTTTTCATGTTTGTATTTAGATATCTGACAAATATGATGTTCCCTTGGATAAAATAGGAAAAGTCTTCAAGAAATGTAAAAAAGGGTAAGTATATCTAAAATAGCACTTCTCAATACGTACGCAGTGCTTATAAAATATTTTTCATCTTGCATAGAGCCATCTTCTCCCCTCACCAAATCTGGTGTGTGTGTACATGTATGAGTTCTGCCACATTCCCCCAAAGGCTGAACTTATGAGTACATCTGCCTCAAAGAAGATGCTATAAAAGGCATTTTTTGAGTGAGGGTGAGGTCAGAACAGGATGAGAATGTGATGGATTGCATCAGTGAAGTGTGGTTGCAGCACCAGCTTTTTCTGATTTTGGTGTTATTGTTTTTTGTTTTTATAGTTGTATATTGTTTTTAGTGCTGGGTTGTAAGCCGCCCAGAATTTGGTTTTAAGATGTTTTAACCTTTAATTTTTAAATTTAATTTAAGATTTAAAACAAATGTTTTAAATGAATGAATGAATGAATGAATGAATGAATGAATGAATGAATTTCAAGTTTTTAGTGAATGGTTTGGCCAAGGGAAGAGAAATTCATAGTTTAGCTAGGCAAGAGCAGCTCATTACATCTCATCTCCATTTTCCTTGAACCAGAAAGGAAGGGGCAACTTGCATGTGTTGCCATAATATCCAGAATTACTTGTTCAGCAAACTGGGAGTTTTCTGTTTAAGGCAAGCTGCACATACTGAGCAGCTCTCAGAAAGCCAAAAATTTGGTTATAATGAAAAATATGGTGAGAGGGAATAGCTTTTGGAATTGAACTTATCTACACCCTTCTCTCATTTAATAAGCATAATTAATGCAAAAAAATGGAAATACTGAAAATCAAGAAAGTCCTATTTTTAATTTACATTGGTTTGGTTATTAGTTGTGGCATTTTGCATATATTGATTAGACTGTGGTGTTCTCAAGTATGTGGCTGGAGAAGGACACTTGAATTGTTCAATTTGCCACCTCTTTTGTTTTTGCTTTTGCTTTTGCTTTTTATAACGTTTATTAATTAACTAAAACAAGGTAACATAAAATGGATTCACAGCATTCCTTTGGCCTTTCATATCCTTCAAATCTTTCTTCACAAAGAAGAGGGTAAAGTACTAATAAAAGTGGTGAAACGGAGGAAGACATGTGAGGTTGCCACCTTTTCTAGATTACCAGAGTTAACTTCAAAAATGATTTAGAAGTAGATTTGTTAATCTCTAAGTATAATCAGCCCAGAATAATGAGGTTTTTTTTTAAATTGTTGTGAAGTTCCATAGAAAGCCATAATTTGGGTTCTGTATTGGCTGCTGTTGCCACACTATTTCTCAGCCACTGCAGCCCTTTTCATAATTATTTTCAAAATCTTCTGAAATAAGCTTGCAAATGTCCTGGAATTCAGTGAAGATAGCATAATTACTTTTTAATGCTTTAACCTGCAATTGTGCCTAAATTAGCAAGCAACTATTTTCAACACTTTTTTTGCATGAACAGCATGCTAAGCCCTATACAAAATAAAACACAAAATGGTATAAACCCAGTACAAGAGTGGATACTCACTTCAGTCTGCAGCAATATTTAACAGCAAATAATTTATTTAATGGTCATGCCAAACACTTTCCCTCCCCCTGGGTCATGCGAAATGGATGCCATGTGGAAATTTATTAAACTTTTCTATTGGGTGTCTATATCCCCTTCTCAAGATTACATTTCTAAGAGATTTTTGAGCAGATTCTGAAACTGAAGCTTTTTCATAGTGTACAAATGACCTTCTTATTTACAATGAACAAAAACGGGATAGGCTGCATGAGGTAAGAAAAGGGCTGGCACCTATGGGAGTTATGACATTTTCCTTCACGTCTTAGTGTTTTCAAAGTTTCTGGCTAATAGACATGCACTGCCTTGGACTGATTTTCTCCATGGCTTGCTAGAAACTAGCTCATACTGGCCATTTTTTTCCCTTATAACTTGGCAAGAAAGCAAATGCAAACTCTTTGCTTAATATAATTTCCTCTTTGAGAACAGTGTGCTACTTTGCTAGGCTAACCAAAATATTCTGCTCAGTTGAGCATATTATGATAGTAGGTCCAAAGAGTCTCAATTCTTCATTGTTTTGCCTGAACCACAGTTCTTGGTTCAGCTGTGATATGTTCTGTTCTTAATACCCCATTTTTTTCTTAGTATTTTAGTGAATATGGATGACAATATTGTGAAGCATTATTCCAATGAAGACACCTTCCTGTTACAGATAGAAGAAGCTGCTGGATCTTACAAACTCACTCTTACTGAAATCTGAAACCTAATTTGTTGGGCTCCTTGTGGGGTCTTTCAGTGAAGGCTCTGAATACAAAACCTCTTTTGCTTTTATCCTCAGGATTTAAATGCGTTTTTATGGAAGAAGCCATTTGATTCTTCCAAAGAAGAATACCTTTTAAAAAACAAACAAACAAGAATTATCAATTGATAAATCTAGCCTTTTGGCTGCAACGCTGCACTTGAAACAGATGAACATAAGAGACTGAATTTTTTTTTTAAAAAATGAAATTTGCATTTGTAACTGAAGCACAATTAAAATGAACTTCTTGTTATATTATCAACACATTCCTTTACCCATTAAATATGTGTGTAGGTTGGTTTATCAGCTCAGAGCTTCCAAACTCCTTTGGTGCTTATTGGAGTTTCAGAGAAGTGTAGGACTGGATCGTTGTGATGTTTACAGTTGCCCGGGGCATAGAACTATTATTTCCTGCTACAATTTCTCGTACCTTGCTTTATGAAGAACTTTCTTTAATTGTATGTATCCTACTGATGAACTATATCTGTATATAAGCGTGGTGTATTTTGAAGGGTTGTAAATGTGTACATAGATCATATATATAAAATGCAGGATATACAGAGATATGATTAAATATGTATGTGTGTGAGTAACCTAGAGCATATGGCAAAGCCAATCTGAAAAGACTACATGTATATAAATATATCACTAAGAAAAGCAATCTTGGTGCTAAATTAAATTTATGTTGAGCATGTTCAGTCTCTAGTAAGGGGAAATAGCTAAAAGGACCTTTTTTGCTTAGCATATTTAATTTTTTTTTATTATTAGAGTCTGATATGAGGCTAGCTCATATACCCTATGATTATAACTGAAGAAGCATGAAGCATCAAAACTGATGTTAGTGACTTTGGGCTTCAGTTCTCACAGCATTTTCAAACTTTATTCTTTTTTTTGTTCCAAAATGTAGATGCGTATCATTTTAATACATGAAACAGAGATTGTTTTCTCACTATTTTCCATTATAATTTAGAGTCCATTTGCAAGGTGCATTTAGGTTTCCAAAAATAAGCTCTCCAAGCTGCTGCCAAACACTAATATCCTGGTTCATACAACAGGTTAAGCCATTATGTAGTGTGTTTTGTGCAGGGATTTGCATGTTGTGCAAACCCCAAAATGGCAGTTTAAGAAGGCTGTGATTTAGTCAGCAAAATGTGATTACAAAAAATATGATTTAAGATAATGTATGAGCCAGACAGCATAATGCAGTGTTGTCCAAACTTGGCCACTTTAAGATGAGTGGACTTCAACTCCCAGAAATTCCCCCCCCAGCCTGGGGGCTTGGGGGTGACTGGGTTTTTTGTCTCCTCTATTTTATAGTGGGCTAGTTTGAAAAACAACCACATTA